TTATGATAAATATTTAGTTATTTAAATATTTAAATAATCTATAAAATATTTAAAATCTTTTGTTATTTGAATTTTATTTATTTAAAGCTATTACATATTATTAAATATTTAAAAAACATTTAAATTGATCGTTCGGAAAAACATAATTTAAATTGTTAGTACGTAATTTCGTGATATATTTTGTAAAAATATAAAATTATTTTTTATGTTTTTAATAAATATTTTAAATTTATTATATAATTAGAGATAATTTAGGATAAATAGGAATTAGAGATAATTTAGGATTGAAACTCTCTACTAAATTAGAGATAACTTTGGAGATAAATAGGAATTAGAGATAATTTATAAGATAAATAGGAATTAGAGATAATTTTGGAGAAAGTAGGGGATAGTGAGGGAGGTAGTTTAGGAGAAATTTTAGGAAAAAATATTATTTAGTTATTGGGAAAGTGCATCTCATTGGTTGTCTTGAAAATGACATGGAATAAAAAAATAAAAAATTCAAAAAAATGGAGAAAATATAGATAGATAGATACGTTAGGAAGAGACATGACTTATTGAAGATGAGACTTGAGTAGAGGTTGCAACTGAGCAAATATAAGAGAGTAATAGAAGAATAGACAGAGAAAGAGAATAAGAGGAAATACACCTCACCATATTCAAACTTTGAACTCGCATTTCATTCATTAGATATGTGCTAAACTTTGCATTTAACACACCATCTCTTATTGGCTCCAACTTCAACTAGGAAGTTGGGTAGGAACAATTTCTAATTGCTTTAAAACTAAGAAAAAACCATAGGGACACTCAAATGTGGATTATAGCTCATAAAATAACTACAATAACCTGGTACTAATCTTACTGCATCCAAACCAAAAACAACTCCAGCATAGACTATTAATTTAGAGACTTAAATCCTGTCTTGGACTGACATGTTATCAATAAAATGGTTATAACTATATTAAAACCTGTCTAGTTTACAAGATTTTGGTCTTGTTGGATACATTACTTAATCACCTATGGAAATCCTGGGCAGTCTGGCATTAGGGGTGTTTTTAGATGCTATGATGGCAATATAGCAGTCTTACTGTCTTATACTCAGGGTTTAAAAGAACCTTTGCAGAGGTTGTGACAGGTGTATTAAATGCAAACTAGACTGTCAAGGCTCTAGGATTGGTGGGACTGGCAAGGTGGTTGAACAGAGAGAGCTAAGGGCCAATTCGAAAGTTCAATGAGTGAGTGGGCTTAAACCGACGTTAAGTAAAGTAATTAGTGGGCCTCTAAATGGGTCTACAAAGCAGGACAAGATGTTGGGTTCGCAAGGTGGGCCATCGGATGGGCCAGGTGGGATAAGTGGTAACAGGCCAGGTGGGGTAAATGGTAATGGGCCAGGTGGGATAAGTGTTAATGGGCCAGGCAGGATAAGTAGCAATGGGCCAGGCAATTTAGAGAGGAGGTCATGTGCCTCTCTAACTTAGTTGGGAATCTATTCCCAAGAGGTGCTCTACGAAGATGGTGATTTTGACTTAGATTGGGTACGCTATGAAGAGGAGACATCAGATGAAGAGTCCTATGGCCAGTCTAGTATCGGCAGTGTTAAAAGCAACACATGGGAAGTTCTTCTAGAGGATGCAGACTTAGGAACAAGACTGCTCTTTGAGAATTCTTTACTGACCCCAACCAAATATTCTTTGGAACCTCAGAAGAGTGACGGTTTGAAAGGTTCTCCCTTGAGAAGAGAAAACATTTCGAGCGAAGGCAGAGAAGTTCTTTTCCTATTTAAGAGTCAAAACTAGGGTGACTGTAGAGATTTTACAGTTTCTCCACACTCGGAAAGCAAATCTGCAGACGGTTCCCCTTCCACTGCTAGCGGTTCAAAGTTTAGATTGGAAGAGAACCCCCCCAACATCGGCCCTGTCCAGTGTCAGCCTCCTTTGCATGACAGTCCTCCGCTTCTTGGTTCTGGTATGTATTGCCAAATTTTAGCTAATTCTATTTGTGTTTCAGCTAATCCTCCCCACCTTCCTGTGGTTGTTGTCCAGCCTGCAGCTGAGGTTGTAGAGGATTCTAAGGAGGAAGGGGAGGAAGGTAGTTGTCCAGCCTGCAGCTGAGGTTGTTGTCCAGCCTGCAGCTTTTTGATCAGTTGGTTCAGGTAGAGATACAGTCCAGAGGGGGTTTGGAGGAGGAAGGTAGTAGTCCAAATCTGATGTGTTTGGAGAAGGAAAAGGAAGACAGAAAGAGTGGGATGAGAGCCAAAAAGGCAAAAGGAAAAAACAAGAAAAAGCAGCAGAAGAAAGAGATAAGAGAAAGGAATAGAATTGATTCTTTAAACAAGGAGTTAGAGTCACCGAAAAAAGAAAGAAGAAGATGAGTGAGGTGGTGAGGCTGAGGTGTGGAGTTGATTATGAAAAAGGAGGTACAGGCAGAAAGGAAAGAAAAATGATTTAGGTTAAGATAAGCATCAGGGTCTTAATAATTGATGTTTCCCATGAAGATAATTAGTTGGAATTTTAGGGGGTTGGGGAGTCAAAGAAAAAGAAGGGTGATTAAGGAAGTTTTTAGGAAAGAGAAGCCGAATATTGTACTAATTCAAGAAACAAAGTTGGAAGAGGTGGATAGAAGATGGGTAAGAATTTTGTGGTCAGCTAGAGGCTTAAGTTGGGCTTTTGCACAGTCGTGGAGAGCCTCAGGAGGCATTTTAACAATTTGGAAGAATGAGGAGATGGACTGTAATGAAGAATTGATTGGCAACTTTACGGTCATAGTGAAGTTTAGGAGGAAAGAGGATGGGTTAGAATAAGGGTGCCAATGGACCGGTTTTGGATTGGACCAATCTGGTCCAAAATACTTATTAGATTGGATTGGACCTGGTCTGTCCATAATAAATTTATATTGGATTGGGTTGGGTTAAGCTAATATCTGGTCCATCAATATAAGACAAGGATATAGGTGTGAATGGATCGGGTTTGAGTTGAAACCAATCTAAATCAAACGAATTTGAATAGATTGGGCGGTCCAGACATTGAATTGGACTGGCCCAAAATGGTCCAAACTCCAAAATATTCATTGGATTGGATTGGACCTGGTCCATTTATAATGGACTCACATTGAACTGGATCAGATTGGACCAAATCTAGTCCAATTGACACCCCTAGGTTAGAATGGACTTTAACTAATGTCTATGGTCCAAATTCATATAGGGAAAGGGGAGAATTTTGGGAAGGACTAGCAGCCATAAGGGGTCTTTGGAGTGGTCCTTGGTGTTTAGGGGGTGATTTTAATGTCATTAGGTTTGTGAGTGAAACAACTAATCCTAGCCATAGGATCACCTCTAGCATGAGGAAGTTCAACCTACTTGTGGAGTTCTTTGAGCTAAGAGAGCTACCCATGCTACAAGCCAATTTCACTTGGTCCGACTTTCAAGAAGAACCCTTGTATTGTAAACTAGATGGATTCTTATTCTTTGCAGATTGGGAGACTGCTTGGAGGGGAATGGTACTATGGGCACTTCCTAGACCAACTTCAGATCACTGTCCAACTAGGCTTTCACAAGAAAAATTAGGAGGACCTTGTCTGTTTTGGTTTGAGAACATGTGGCTACTTCATCCTGAATTTCTAAAGAAAGTACAACAGTGGTGGGAAGAAGATCAGGTGGAGTTCAGGTGGAAAGGATATAGATTCTATAAAAAGCTACAAGTTCTGAAAGCTAGGATCAAAGAGTGGAACAAAGAGGAGTTTGGAAGAGCGGAAGAAAGAAAAGAATGGATTGCTAAAAGGATTCAAGAAATTGATACAGAGGAAGCAGAGAGAAGGTTGACAGTAGAAGAAAGGTGGAACTTGAAATAAGAATTAGAGGAAATCATTAGAAAAGAGGAGATAAGTTGGAGACAAAAGTCTAGATGTAAATGACTCAAGGAGGGAGATGGAAATACTAGGTTTTTTCATACCCTGGCAAATGGTAGAAAGAGGAAGAACACCGTGGAGTGGTTGGAATGAAATGGAGAAGTGCTTACAAGGGAGGAAGAGATAACAAGAGCATTTGTGGATCACTTTAAAACCATTTATGACAGTCCTAGCAGATCGAGAGAGGACATCTCTGATTTTGAGTGGCAAACAGGGAGTAGAGAAGTAATGGAGGAGTTGGAAAGAAATTTTGAGATCTAGAAAATCAAAGATGTTGTTTTCTCAACGGAAAGATTTAAAGCCTTGGGTCCATATGGTTTCACGATGGCCTTTTACCAAGATTGGTGGGAAATCATAGGTGGGGATTTAATGGAGGTGTTTCTAGAATTCTTTGAGAGAGGTAGGATTAACTTAGGTGCCAATGCTACTTTTATAGCTTTGATTCCCAAAAAGATGGATGCAAGACACCCAAAGGATTTTAGGCCCATTAGTTTGCTTGACAGCATGTATAAGATCTTCTCTAAGGTGTTAACCTCAAGAATTAAAATGGTACTTCCGTATCTGATTTCTCCAAACCAGGGAGCCTTTGTGATTGGAAAAGGCTTATGACTTGGTAGATTGGGGTTCTTTACTGGAAGTTTTGAGAAACAAAGGTTTTGGAGAAAGGTGGTGTAGATGGTTAAAAGGTTGTGTGTCTTCGTGCCACTACTCTATTTTGGTGAATGGGGTAGCCAGGGACTTCTTCCTTGCAAAGAGAGGTCTAAGACAAGGGAACCCTCTCTCTTTCTCTCCCTTCCCTTTTACCTTAATAGTGGATGTTTTGAGTGTTATGATTTCCAGAGCTGACTCCAGAAATCTTTTAGTAGGGAGGCAAGAAGTAGTTGTCACTCATTTACAATTTACAAATGATATAATTCTCTTTTGCAAGGGAGAGCCTGAGGAGATGGTCAATCTGAAGTTGTTGGTAGAAGGTTTTGAAAAGGTCTCTCATTTGAGAGTGAATTGGAATAAAAGTTGTGGTTGGAATTAGTAGGTCAGATGAGGAGGTGTCTTCCTTGGCTAGGATGTTAGGTTGTGAGTGGAGTGATTGGTATCCAGTCTTGGAAAGATTCAACTAGTAGGGTGGAAGAGGAGTTATATCTCTTTAGGAGGTAGAATCACTTTAATTAAGTCAACACTAGCAAATTAGCCGGTGTACTTCCTATCTAAGTGGTTGTGGAGGTTTCCCAAGGAGCAAGAAAGTTTGTGGCATAGAGTGATAGAAAGCATACGTGGATTGGCGGCTAATGGATGGGATGCTGGTCTCAACCCAAGGGCTTCTCGTTCCTCTTCGTGGAAAGGCATCGTTGGTATCCTAGCCACCTTTTCTCCTTTCATCAGGTATGATGCTTGTTCAGGTAATAAGGTCCTTTTTTGGGAGGACACTTGGACCGGGGACCTACCTCTAAAGGATAGGTTCCTGGCCCTCTACTCCCTGTCCTTGAACAAACTTTTCGTGTTTCTAGAGAGTTGTGGGATCTAGGGTTTAGGAGAGGGTTGAGGGAGTCAGAAATAGGGTTGGCAGATGATCTTTTCTCTCTTCTAAACTCGATGTTTTTGGACCAATATTGTCCTGATATTATAATTTGGTCTGAAGAGTCCTCCGGTTGTTTTTCTTGCTCTTCTTTCTTCAATGCTTTAGTGCAATCTTCCAATTTAGTTTTCTCTTTTCTTGTTAAAGAAATGTAGAGTGCTCCTATGCCACCAAAGATGAGGAGGGCCTTTTGTTGGGAAGTGGTTCTCCAAAAAATCAACACTTTGGATTTGTTACAGAGAAAAAGACCAAATTGGTTCTTATCCCCTCATGTTTGTAGCCTTTGCTTGAAGAGTGGTGAGATGGTAAATCATCTACTAATCTCTTGTCTTTTTGTTACTCTTATTTGGGATTGGTTCTCTTCTCTCTTTGGGTGCAGGTGGGATCCTCCTACAAGTGTGGTGGATCTTTTTGAATCTAGCTTTTTCCGTCAACCAAAGAAAAGCAGAAGGGTAATGTGGAGAACCAACAAGGGCAGCAGTTCTTTGGGCAGTGTGGGAAGAGAGAAATAACACAATCTTTCAAGGGAAAGAAAAATTAGCACATGAAGTCATAGAAGGGATCACCATCAAGGTTATACACTAGCTGAAATCGCTGGACCTGTTCAAGGATTTCTCTGTAGATGCTTTGATTAGAGGATGGAGTACAGTAGCAGCTTCTTCCTTCCCTTCTTTAGCTATTCAAGAGGACTGGTCTCCCCCTTTAACTATGGCTGCTAAGCTAAACTTTGATAGCAGTTCTGTAGGTAATCTAGGCCCCTCTGGAATTGGGGGTGCCTTTAGAGATGGGGGAGGAAAAGTCGTGGCCCTTTTCTTCTGGCCCGATTGGCTTGGGGGACTTTCTTAGAGCATAAGTTCAGGCACTCCTACAGGGGCTCAAATAGGCTGAACAGCTGGGTTTTTAGCAGTTGGAAGTGGAGAGAGATTCAAAACTGGTAATAGGTTGGATGCAAACAAACAGCTTATGTGCCTGGTCCCTTAGACAAACCTGTAAGGGAAACTATGCAACTAACAAGGGAGCTTGAAGTCTGTTTTAAATGGACTAGGAGATCAGCCAATCAATGGCTGATACTTTAGCAAAGAAAGGAGTTAGTAGGCAGAACCTTTTTTTGGGCCTGTTTGTAATCTTGATGAGAGGTCCCCTTGTTTTTGAAGGTGACAGTTTGTACTAAGTGTTTTGAAGAATTAATGAAAGTTACCGTTTCCCATAAAAAAATACAAAGATATAAGAATCAAGCTTTAAAAATCTCAAATGGATCAGAATTTGAACCACCAAAAAATTCTGATATTGTCACTGGTGTAAGAATCTGTGGAAAGTTGATTTCTTCTTCCATGGTTTCTTTCCCTTTTTCCATTTCTGATTATGTAGTGTTTGGGATGTTTATTTTCAGTTATACTCCCAAGCTAGCTAGATGTTGAGAACCTGAAAATGCATGCTCATTATTGCAGGTGGGAGAAAACCCATGCTCTTCTTATTGAGGGAGGCCTTACATGTGATGACATAAAGAAGTCTGTGGAAAGCGCAACAATTGAGTTTAGGGAGGGTGTATTCGAATTGTTTGAATTTTTAGAGGTAGATGCTTGCCTTTTTTGCATGGTTTAAAATGCCCCTAATTTCCCTAATATTTCCATGACATATTTCCAATTCCATGGGTAGAGACACGAAATTTTACTGGAATTGACATTTCCCCAATGAACATCACTAGAACTATGTGGAGTACAAGAGATAGTTTCCATGACATATTCCCATTTCCACTTCCATGGGCAGCGACATGAAATTATACTAGAATCGACACATTCCATAGTGAACACTACCAGTACTATGTGGAGTATAAGAGATAGTATTAAAACATAAGTTGGTGACAATATTGTAGACATGTGAAGTATCAAGTTATTGTCCACCTAACTTACATGTTTACAACTTTAAGCTAGCTCAATATCCTTTTCAAACATGAAGTTAAATATTAGTTTTTATTTGTGTAGTAGATTATTTTGTTGATCTATTACAACCATTTACATTTTTATGAGTTTAAATTTTGCTTTAACCATTCTATCATGAACCTCTGAATCTTGAGGTTCACAGGGCAACTTCAGAACATATTCTTTTGTCTATAGCCTTAGTTTCTTAGCTTTGTTTAGTGATTTGAAACAAGATAATAATTTAAAAAGGTGTGCATATGCTTCTTTTATCATTTCATAAAATATCATTCTATATTTTGCATATTTTACAATGTTTCCACCATGTCTATAATTTTTACAATATTACCATACGATATTTTTGACATTTCTGACATGTTTCATGTATTTGGATGACTGACATTTCCACCAATATTGACATATTAAACCAATACCTGATTCAGAATTCCTTTGAGTATGGGGCTGAATAGTTGTTGACTTTGTCTAAACAACTAGATGGGAAATTGGGCTCAAGAACTAGTTAGTGAATTTGCTGCAAATTTAGGATGTTTTCAGCAAAAGTATCAGGGGAACATGATGATTTGGTTCATTACTCCAATGTTGAATCTGAGTTTGGTACTGCAACTCTAATTAAACAAAATAATTTTGGAGAAGTTCTGAGCCTTAACATCAACTTTGGTTATTTGACTGAGGGTTGCCCATGATGATTCGGTCCATGGCCGAATTTACTGGACTGAAGGTGGGCAGACAAAAACTAGTTTCACAATTTTGTTGACTTGTCATATCAGGTCATTTTGTTTCTCCTACACATAACTGTTGGTACTAGTTAAGTGGAATCTAGAGCTGGTTAGATGAAACATAAGACACGTATAGTAGAAGTTATGTTTTAGCTTTTAAGGAGTGTTTTCTCACCTCCATCTTTTACCTTTCCAATTGGCAGGAAATAGGTGTGCCTGTTCTCATATTTTCTGCAGGACTTGCGGACATCATTGAGGAGGTTAGTTTAATAAAGCTGGTCCATGGTGGCCATGCTAAAGAACTTCTGACAATTGGAAAATCATTTGAAGCATTTCTATAGCTCTTTTTCTTGACGGATTACAACATAATATATTTTCATTCTTTACCAGGTCTTGAGGCAGAAACTTCGCAAATCATTTAAGAATATCAAGATTGTATCAAACCGAATGATATTCAGTAAAGATGGTCATCTTGTATCTTTTAAAGGTATATTGTATATAGAAAACCATAATTAGGGACCATTCTGTTCTAAGATTATTTTGTGTTTTGGTTCTCATAAAAGTCTTCAGTTGGTGATTACATTTGTTAAACCTCACCTAAGGAACTGCCATTGCTTGAGTAAGTGTCTCTTTATTTTGGGAGCTCTATTCCTTGAATTCCCACTATTTGATAGGTATCACCAAAGGGAATATTTTGGACAAACACGGTTGGCAAATGCAACTTCCAGCCTATAAAATTTCTCCCTCATTCCCCTTTATATTGCTAAGGATATTATGTAACAGGAACAGATGGTATATATGTTATGGTTCCAGGTTTGACTCAACAAACCCGATAGACCCAAACGGATTGGGCTAGTTCTGGTTTCATGCAAGGATTAAAGTATCGATATCAAGTATCGTATCGAACAACTTGGATATGCTTTGGAAGCGCATGGATATAGACAAAAAATATGGAAACACTTGGATACACTAGGGAAACACATACAAATTTCATAATAATACATTAGTAACACTAAACTTACGGTCAAATAGCCATAAATAATGTATAAATATATGAGAAATATTTATATCTTAATGGTGTACATGAAAAAATATATTATAATTAATATAACTGGATGCATAGATATCATACAATGCATTAATCAAGAGTTCAAGACACAAAACATATGGACCTATTATATTTATCCTAATTCTTATATCAATTATTTTCTATTTTATTATTTTTACTTTTTAACATTAACAAAAAAGTTAACCAGATATTACATTCTCAAATATAAATTAAAATTTCATTTAATAATTTATAAAAATATATAATTTTAACTTAAAATATATCAAATCTGTTAAAATTTCTAAGATAAATATCACATTGCAAATTCATAATTTTTAATTACTAAAATAATTATTTCATTATTAAAATTTTTATTTCTATAAAGTTTTTTGAAATTAAAAATCATTTTTTCATATAAATGTAATTTATTGGATTTGATAGATTTAATTAAATATTATATTATTGCATATTTTGTAAACAATTTTTTTAATTTTTTTGTAGGATATATATCATGCACAACTTTATAAATTTTAAGGACTAAGATAATTATTCTATTATTAATATTTTATTTGTATAAATTTCTTGAGATTAAAATCATCTTTTGATGTAAATGTGGATTTGATAGATTATCTATTCTATTTATTTATGAAATGTAAATATTATTTCTTTTAATTTTTAGTTGGAGTTGTTAAACATAAAAAATCATTATTTGTTTGGATTGTATATGGTCACAAAAGTTAATATAAATTATTTTATTTCATTAAATGTCATGAGACATGAGATGACTTTGTGGTTTGAAGTTGTGTTAAGAGTTTCAGTGTTAGGCATTAGGTGATCTGGGTTCAAATCACACTATAAGTCTATAAGCTTCAATTAATTTTTTTAATAGAAAGATGCTGTGTATCGGTTTGATACGTGCGATTTACAGGTACATTTCCAGTTGTAGCATATCCTGTATCATCCTGCACCGTACCGATACGATACGCCCCGTATCGGACGTATGATATTGATATTAAAATCTTTGGTTCCAGGATCTGGTACCGATGGGTTGGTTCTGGTTCCTAATCTATTGTCCCGATTATTGTCGGTTCTGAATCAGTTCTATCCAGTCCCAAACCGATTCAGACCTGACCCGAGCCATGTATATGTTAAATGTATAATATATTAAATAAATTAATGTATATATATATTAAATTATAATATTTTCAGCAGGTTTATTATAATCGACCAATTGGTTTGGTTCTGGGTCTAAAATTCCAGACCCTGTAGGGTCTGGTTTGGTTCCGGTTCCTTAATATTTCTTGTTGGGTCAGTTCCACTTTCTACCCAGACCCAACCCACTGACAGCTCTATCAATGAGTATAACATACTAATCCTTTATATATCTTCCATATCTATGACAAGGCAGGACAACTTCCTGACCTGTCACTGTACTATGTTTGTCTTCTCTTGTATGCTTTCCTCCATAAAGCTGATATGCTCATACACATGCAATATAGTGTAATCCATCAGAGGTTATTGGTTGGCATATTATCATTTTTCACCTTGTTACTGTTTGAACACTTATTTTTATTATTTATTTATTTCATTTTATTTTTATTGTAGGCAAGACAATCCATGTTCTCAATAAGAATGAACATGCTCTTGATATGGCTGCACCTCTTCATGATCATTTGGGTGGCAATGATGGGCCAATTAATGATAATGCTTCAGTAAAAAAAAGAACAAATGTGCTGCTTCTTGGTGATCACATGGGAGATTTGGGCATGTCTGATGGGTTGAACTATGAAAATCGAATTGCTGTGGGGTTCCTGTAAGTTAAAAACCTAACATAGTTTATTCATTTTCTCTGAAACCTTGTGCATTAGATACCTCCTGTATTGCATGGAGTTTCTTTTGTTGGTAAAACACAATAGATTTCAATTAAACAGTATACATGTTAAAATATATGCTGCTGTACAATTTTTATTGATAAATGAGTAAAATATTATTATCAAAGGATTCAAACTCTTAAAAGCATCCCAAGAGAGGTGCATGGTGTGGCCTCTCCCTTATAAGATATTACAATTCTCAGAAACTAGAGAAATTACAATGCCGCCCAAAAAAGATTCCCTAGAAGCCTCTTGTTTGGCTTGGAAATTTGCCACTGCATTTGCTAACTTGTCCACCTGTTGTATTCTAGTTGTCATATTCCTTGTCAGCCATTTGACTTTCTTTAGAAGGTCCCTATAGCATCGGATGACAGAATCTGGATCCAGCAACCAGTCCACCACCACCTTAGAATCTCCTATAATCAGACTGCCCACATTGAGTTGATTTGCAATCTGAATCCCTTGTACAACAGCTGGCAACTCAGCTCTAGTAGAATTCTCTATTCCCTCTAGGCCTGAGAACAAGGATAAGATGTTGCCATCCTTATTTCTTGGAATCCCACCTACACATGACGGGCCCCAGTTATCTAGATTGCTTCATCATTTTTTTTTTGATCAGTAACAAAAAACTTTCATTAATTAAGAAGAAAAGATTTAAATACAAAGGTAGGGGGAGGTAAACTCTCTTAACTCTCCCCCAAAAAGAAAATTACAAATTTACATTGCAGCCCAAAACAAATGACTTCTTCCCACCTCCTGTTTAGCCAGTTCGTCTGCAAATGAATTGGCACATCTTTTAACCCACTTGATGTGCACTTCCATTCCCTGAGTTAACCACTTGAATTGCCTTTGTTCATTAATGTATGTCCATAGCCCATCATTTGTCTTCTCTATCCAGCCAATTACCACCTGTGAACCTCCTTCCATAATCAACCTATTTATATTTAGTTCCTTAGCCCTTTTTACCCCCTCTAACAAAGCCAGAATTTCTGCTCTCATTGAATCTTCGAATCCAATAGGTCCTGAAAAAATAGCTATTACTTAACCTGCCTGTCTGGAAGCACCACCAACCCCTGATGGCCCTAGATTTCCTTCATTGCTCCCATCAAAGTTGAGCTTGATAAAGCCCTTCATCGAGGGATGCCATGAAGGATGGACAATGATTTTGCTTGGAGCTGAGACTGCTATTTCCTGCCAGTTGTTCACAATGGTCTCTAAGGGAGCATCGTCAAATAGGTTCACTGTCCTTACCTACTGTGCCACCTTCAAGTAATCACTTCTATAATTGTGTCTTTGCTTCTTTCCTTTTCAGCAAATATCCTTTGGTCCTTTCCTCCCAAATTGTTCAACAAACCGCTGCCCTGGTGTCGTGGATGCATTCGTGGGAAGAATTACCGCCGCTGGCAGCAGCAGTGAGGGGGGCCCACACAGCAGCTTATCTTGCCACGTCAACTCTTCTTGCCAGCTCGCCAATAGTTTACTTATTCCAGTTCTGTTCTTACTTATCTAGTTCTGTTCTTACTTATCAGTGATAGGAACTGAGTTCTGTTAGAAGTCTGTTAGAAGTAGGAGTTCTGTTCTTACTTATCTAGTTCTGTTCTTATCTATTAGAGATAAGAACTGAGTTCTGTTAGAAGTCTGTTAGAAGTAGGAGTTTGATTTAAAGTTGGATTGTCCTAGCTTAGTCGAATGGAGTAAGGAGTCTCCTCTTGTAATCTCCTATTTAAGGAGCTGTGATTTGGGAATAAAGTATTCAGTTTCCAGTTAAAAAGAAGAGTGAGGAGAGTTCGGGTGGTCTCTTGGACAAATCACCCATTCGGTTTTCCACAATGGTCTGCACGCAAGGGAAGGCGCAAGGGGAAGCAAGCGGTTCTCCCCGTGGACCGACCCGGGACGAGATCCTACGCCCGGGCCCATAACACCTGGTGCACCTCCACAAGATTTTCCCCCTCTTTTTAACCCGACTACCAATTGAATAGACGAAGAGGCTTTGGATGCTTGAAGGGGGAGTCCACCTGCAACCAAATAAAGAGAAGAACCACTTCCAAATAGAAGAAGTAAAAGGGCAGGATATAAATAAGTGAAAGCAAAACTCATCATTGGCTTTACAGAGGGTGCACCAGCTCGGGAACAAGCACCAAAAAGGCTTCTTTCTTTGAATTTGATCACAAGTATAAATTTTTTCCAACGCTATTTCCTAGCAAAGTGTTTTGACTCTAGGTGGGACCGGTCTCCCCCACACTTCTTTAGAAGGAAAGGGATTGGTAGGAGGAGTAGGTTGAGTTAGGGCATTGAAAAAAGAGGCACAAGCGAAGGAGCTAGAAGAGGAAAAGGGTCCAAATCCTGGAATCCACCCTAGACGGGTCCAAGAAGACCTTTTGAAGTACCTGAACCAAGGACCATGCCAACTCCACCTTTGATTCTCTGAGACATCGTCTAAACCCCAAATCCCAATTAAGCTTAGGACTTGGACCAAAGGATGAGACAAAGGTTGAGGCAATCATATTTTGGTACCTAAAAAGAGAGAATAGGGAAGGAAATTGGTCTTCAAGTGGTGCCTCCCCCATCTACACATGTTCCTAAAACTAGGGGTGTTCAAATTCGGTTATCAAACTGAGAACCGAACCAAATTACTTAATTCAATGTGGTTCAGTTTTAAGATTTTAATTTTTTTTGGTTTTCGATTTTCGATTCGGTTTGAGAAGAATGCAACCGAACCGGACCGAAACTGAATTAACCAAAATATACACATATATTTACATTTTAATTATAAAAATTCATATCAATATTAGCATTAATATATATTAACATTACTATTTATATTAATAATAATATATAATATGTATTTTAATTATAAATGCTGTTATATTTTAATAATAATCATTAATATAAATATAAACTACATTTATATTTTAACTAAATGAGTTAACCAAATTAAAACTGAACCGAACCAATTTAAATTCAGTTCAGATATCTAGAGCACAAGTTATACCTCACAAAAGGTAGAAAACAAGGATGACTTGGATAGCTTTCCAAGGTGCTGTAGTAGTTTATCTGGCCGAAATTCCTGTGTCCCAACCATCTGCCATCAGCCCATGTATGCTCTTAATCACCTTTGTCCATAGTTCATTTTGATCCATCGGAAATCTCCATAACTATTTTCCCAACAACGCTGTATTACTCTTCTGAATGTTCCCGATTCCTAGACCCCCCAGTTCCTTACTTCTAGTTGCCACTTCCCAAGTAACCCTATGGTTCCTCTTTTCCTCTCCCGACTCCCACAAAAAATCCCTCATGAACTTCTCTAACCTTTCTACAAATCCTCAGGCATCCTAAAATCCAAAAGGAAGTAGATAGGTAGGTTGGACAAAGTTGATTTGATCAAGGTGATTCTTCCACCAAGAGAGAGATGATTCCTTTTCCAAGAGGCAAGCCTTTTTGAGAGCCTGTCCACCATCGGGTTCCAAAAATTTACACTTCTAAGGTTGCCCCCAGAGGTAGGCCCAAATAATTCATTAGTCATTGGCATACCTCACAACTCAAAATTGTTCCACATTCAAATACCTCACCATCGTCCATGTTAATGCCTGCCACACAAATCTTACTAAAGTTAACTTTCAGATTTGTCATTTTCTCAAAAACTTGGATCGCCTCCTTCATATTCCTCGCTCAATTTAGATCAGCTCCCTTTCAAAATAAGACAGTATCATCTGCAAACTGCGAGTAATAGGCACTCTTTCTCTTCCCACTCTCCAACCTCTCACCAAACCCCTTAAATCTGCTCTCTAGATAAGGATACCTAGCACTTCAGCTACTAGGGTGAATAAGAGAGGGGGTCCCCTTGTCTAATACCTCTAATGGTTGGAAAGTGATCCACTATTGTACCATTAACCAAAATTGAGTAATGACATGTACTAATGCATCCTTTAATCCACTTGCACCACTTGTCTCTGAATCCAAAGTTCCTCATCACTTCCAACAAGAAATCCCAGTCCACTGCATCATATCTTTCTCTAGATCTAACATGCAAATCAAACATTTCTTTCTAGATCTTTTTAGCTCCTCCACACTCTCATTAGCGATAAGGATTTGGTTGATGATTTGCCTATCCTTGACAAAGGCACCTTGATTTAGGGAAATAATAGAAGGAAGCACTGATTTAATTCTTCTTGATAGCACCTTAGCAATAATTTTGTAAATGTTATGGACCAGACTAATGGGCCTAAACTCCTTAGGTTGTATTGCCCCATTTTTCTTTGGAATCAAAACAATGAAGGTAGAGTCTAATCCTGGATTTATTACTCCTCTGCTAAAAAATTCATCAAGCACCTTTTGGACATCCTCCTTCAAAAAGTCCCAACAGTCTTGGTAGAAAGCCATAGTAAAACCATCTGAATCTGGTGCTTTAGATCTATCAATTGAAAAAACTGCTTCCTTTATTTCTTCCAAACCAAACCTTATTTCTAACCAGCTCTTTTGCTCTTCCAAAACTCTTGGCCACTCTAACCCTTCCACACAAAGTCTTCCAAAGAGAGGTTTCTAAAGATAAACTTAAAATGGTTCACAAGGGCTCTAGCAATTTCATTTTGTTGATCAATAGTCTCGCCTTCAACTTTACAAACCCTTCCAAAGGTGGTGTCCAAGCTACATTTGTTCTATTCCTTCCAGTAGAACTATTGGTCAATTCCTCCAGAAGTCATCAAAAGAAAAGGACTGAAGAGAATTTAGAGTTCTCCATAACTAATTGATGCAAGTAGGAATCTTGATATCACAAGTTGATTCTTGAGTTGTTATGACTTTTATTCACATATAGTAAACATGTATATAATAAGAAGACATAGTAATGGATACATACCTTGAATGTTTCGTTTAATTCTCTCTCTCTCTCTCCTCTCTCTCATTGGAGACCACACTTTCTTGAAGAAGTGTCTGTGTTGGGCAG